GTGCACCACATCAGGGGAATAAATCCTCTATACACTTAAAGCTCACTTTGTGCTTTCAAAAGCACCTGGAGAATAGCTTCCTTTTGCTCCTCGGCCTCTCAGCCCCTTCACATGGTTTGCTGAATGCAGTTTTTCCAAGAAAAAAGAAAAAAAAAGACTAGAAAGAACAAAACTTGTAGGGCTCTATGAGCAGATTAGGCACTTAACTTGATACAGTTATTCTTTTTTAAAATGAGATTTTAAAGTAATAACCTTTAAAATTAAAAGATTATGTACTACCCGATCAGGAAACTCATCCCAAATCTAGATCAAGGGATTATAGTTTGATTTGTAAATCTAAAAGAAAGAAACAATTTTTTTTTTCTAATCTGATCTAATATTGAAGCCTATTTATGCCATATACAATATTATTCCTTTCCTGTAATTTAAGGATACTTTAACTCATGGAGATTTGTCTTAAACACACTTTTTTCCAGATCCATAAAACCAAAGAAAAGCAGTCAGCCCCTTGTTCAAAAGCAGTAAATTTGAGCCATTAAAATTAAAATCTAATCAAAAGGGCACTACACATCATACTTATTAAGATTCATGCTTTAGATATTCTATTAGACCAAAGGAAAAATGTGAGACCATTTTTAAAGGATTATGATGAGAACACATAGTTCAGAAGGAAGCAATTTTCAGCCCCAAGGCAGTGCAAGATTAATTGCAATTTTGATTTTAAAATCAAAACGAAATGTGTTATTTCCACAACTGCAAGCTCCTGACATTGATGGCTACTTTACCTACATTGTTTGGCACCAGTGGAAGCTGACAGATGCCAGCAACTTTATTAAGTGGAAACCCTATTTTAGGTATTCAGAAGACTGCAAAATACCCTTGGAAGTCTGTCTCCTGTCACAGGCAGAGTGGAAAAATGTTCGCTTTCACAAAGCCATGAGGCCTTAAAAATCTCTGTAAATTTGACTAAATGCAGCAGGACACGTTTAGAGCACACTTGCTGTGTTCATTCACATTACTATTACATTTTCTTCTGAAACTAAGTAATTTGCGGCTGTAAAGAGGACATTTTCTAAACTGGCTAAAGAGAAATATACTTCACCACAGAACTTCCAGAAATTACATAAAATAAAATCTCCTCTGGTCAGCATTAATTCCACCTTTGGAATGCCATAGTAGATGATTATTCCTTATTTAAATTTACTTTGGAAATTAAACTCCAGGGGAATTACCCACTGCATGCCAGACTGAAAATGAACTGTGAACCTCCAAAGTTAATTTTAGCCTCGTGTGTGTTAAGATTTCAAGTTTTTAATCTGCCTTTTAAAATTAAGAACCACTTATTCAGCCAGGACCTTATATTAATTTAAATGTAAGCTTCTTTAAGCCAGTATAAAAAATTGAATTGATAATCTTGAAAAGATTTATAAAAGCAGCCTCTCAGGTTTTTCTCCAATACATTTAACCTCGGTAACTTGACAAGTGAGTCTAAGTAAACAGTCATTTTTCCACATTTCAGCTGCTTCCAGCATTACGTAAACTTCAAAATGAACAGGAGGAGAAAGGAGGCAAGATTCTATTCCCTCTGATGAACAACTGTGCAAGTTGTTGGGGTTTTGATTTTAAAATATGTATATATATATATACACATACATATGGAGAGTTTTCTAGAAGTGGTTTATGACAGATGAGCCACAGAGCAGCCAAAATTCATCATGTCAGCACTGGTACCCATTTGGTGAAATCATATTGCCTGTGTTAGGTGTGTCAGACAAGATGTGATAATTTCTAGCCTATGATTCTAGAATTTTTTCAAGTTTAGGAGATAGTTTCATTAGAAGATCTGCATCCGGTTCTTTCTGCTTTTAAAGTAACTTAGATATTATCTGGAACTAAACAATTTGCCAGTAAAAGGAAATCTTCAAGGGAAGTAGCTTATATTAAATGTCATGTGGCTTGCCTTTAATGATGAAGGAAGGCAAGAAGCACACAGCAATGGATCTCCCAGCTCTCCACCAACAGCAGAACTTCAATTCTCTTGTAGGTTTGAGAGATAAGGAGCTGTGCCTTGAAGTATGCTGTCACACAGATACATTAGGGTTCAACAGACAATTTTTGGATTTCAGTGAAGGAGATAAGAAAAACTTATTTTCAACACCAATTCAACTTAGAACAAGAATTTTCACTGTGTCTATTTTAAAAGTCTTTATATCATAATTGCCTGCAAAACACTTGTCAATCTTGGTTTAGATCAAAGTAAAATTAAATCCATTTTTTGGTCTTAATATAGCTGCACTCACCCTTCAGAGAGAACAAAGTTCTCTCAAAACACACTAGAGCAGCATGAATGGAATGCTGATTGTACTTTATTCTCCCTCAAGTACCTCTTTGAAACCCAGGAAAAGTGGGCAAATAGGAAGTTTGTAGTGTAAATGACCCACTCTGCAAGTGGCATTCACTTGGCTGCTTATAGAAGAGTTTTATGCTGATTCCTCTATCTGAAAGCTAAATATTAGTTTGACTTAATGAGCTCCGATTTGTAACTGGAACATGTATCATCCAGGAACCCTTTACAGTCCACAGGAGCTTCATTGACACTGGTGGTCATTACTCTCCATAGAATGAATTATTTCTTTAGTTCCTAAGGGACTCTAAGGGAGGACCACTTACCAAATAGACTCTTTAGAAGTACTCAACACCTTCAGACAAAGATGAGATCCCACACAACAAGAGCCATGCTAGAAACGCTGATTTTTGTTAGACAGCTCACTATAAAGAACATTGCTGACACATTGACCAGAGGTTTCTTTGAAAGGCTTTTTAATGACAGCTGAGCATCTCTGGTATATGGGTTTAAGCCTCTATTTGAGGACACATTCTTTCAAAGGTTGGGTGCAAATAAGAGAAAGGGATAGAGAAAAATCAAATAAACCACCATACTGTTAAAGCCGTTTGTTAGGTGCTTGAAATTCAAGCTTGGTATACACAGGGATGTGTTCGTTTCAGAAAAGCTGCTGGCACTGTTAAAATAACATTTATAGCACTTTCTTGCTGAGAATATGCAACACAGTACTTCTGCTTTAGCAAGCACAAAATTTGACACAAATAGTCCTTCCAGAAATACTTCCACTTATGCAATCACTACTCAACCAAGGGAAAACAGTAAAAAAAAGCATTAAACTATCATATACTATTTATATTTTTTAAAGAATTCAACTCCTGGATGGACTCCTCTGCATGGTTTGGAAAATGCATGAGCAGTTTTGACAGACCATCACCAGGAATTCTGCAGCCTTTAAAAGCCAGTAACAGCAGCAGCATGCAGGAGAAAGATGTTCATCCACTAATCACATCCTGAACAAGTTCAAGTGATAACATGCTGCCCTAACAGGTGAAATAAGTCATATGTATGATCACTAATCTAAACTTCTAGTCTCAGAAACCATCCTGTTCAGCTCCTTCTTTTTATAAAGATGTTTCTTCTCTTAGTTCATTGTTTTATTTCTCAACTATTATTTCGTCCTAGTTATGTATGTAATATAGCCTCTTTCTTTCCCAAGAAGAAAAGCTTTTATGTAAGGAAAAAAATTAATATTTGGTAAAGTTTATTCTTCAACTGTTATACCCAAGATACAGAACATTTTGAGAACTAATATTAATAGTCAGAAGTTTTTCTAATTAAACCCATTCTGAAAAACCCCAATGTCAGCATTTTGACTTAAAATGCCCTTGAAGTAACTTAAAAGAAGAATTTTTGCCTTCGATTCAACAGTAAGTTAAAGACTCATTGATTCAGCAAACAGCCAGAGAATTTTGTCCAAGAAACTCATTTTGGTTGACTGATCCAAGAACAAGAACCAGTATACTTCACTGAAGGCTAAAGTTACACAAACAAATTTAAATTAGAAACCATTTGAAGCCTAGCTGTCAGGCTGTAGCAAGGTCCTAGAAGAGCTTAAACATATCACAGATTCTTCACCACTCATGAAAATAAACACTCTCTGCCCTGAAGTGTTTGTAAGAGTAAGAGCTGCATGTGTAATACAGGAGGCAGCTTTAGGAATAAGACAAAAAGAAATTGAAGTATTCCCTCTAGAGTGACCTAACCCTTTTTTGCCCTGTGACTGCAAAGGATCACTTCTGTAAGGAACTCTGCACTCAAAACCATGTGCTCAATCTAAATATTTACATTATGAACACTATTAAAACTCTCTCTGAAGCCATTAAACATAGTATTTCCAGCAAGTGAAATAAAAGAACTGCTGTTTAGATTCTTAATTAGTTTTAACTATTTTTATCAGGCAGAATCTAATCTGGCTGCTCTCCCTAACCAATCTTTGTAACTCATGAGAGCCACACAGCTGTGGCTTTGGCTGAATATACCTTAAAATGTCAAATACACTTCCTTTCTGTTTTCTAAAAGAAAAAAGAGAGGGGAAGAGAGAAAGAAGAGGGAACCTGATGAGGATTTTGGTTTTTTGTTACCATATGTAACACTAGCACACAAATTGGCAACCATGCCCCCAAGAGGCTTACTGTTCATCTCTTTGACCTCCCTATCAATCTTTTCCGCTCCCACCCCAAAGTATTAGCAATGGTCTGAGTGCTTTCTCCTCTTTCATTTAGGCTTATTGTTGCTTTCACGGCTTTGTGCTCTGCAGTCCTGTGAACTCTGTTCTGATGAAGACACAACCACACCAATCTTTTAATCAACGTAGTTGACACTTTCTCCCATGCTGGAATAGATTGCTCCCAGTAACCAGCTGGGAAATAAGTCTCGAACCTGCTTTTGCTTTAACTTTAAAATAAATCTATAAGCTATATCTAAACTTTGGGTAAAAAAATACTCCAGTTAAAGAAGCAACTATCAACATCTGATATTTTACATATTGTTTCAGATTTCTGTTTTACAGTACCTATCAAACAGAGCCCTTTCCAATTGTACTTTGCAATACAAGGAACTGCCAAGGAAGAAAATGACAGTAAAAAATAATACTTACAGCCATAATTAGCTCAAAAGGGTGTTTATACACCCGCACGGGGGATTGGTACTTCTGCACCATTGCTGCGGTTAGTAAGCTCAACTCAAACCTGGAAAAGAAATTTTTAAAGCCATCTGTCAAATGCAGGAAGCCATTTTCAATCTTGTCTTAAAATTATCTTGTGCGTGCTCCCCCGCTAGCAATTCTACAGGAAACCCTTCACAAGTCCTTGACTTTTTCCTTTTGAAGATGCAATGGGGCCCTAAAGAGCTGCATATATTTTTCTCAGAATTGACATCATTTCTTCCAAAGGCAACACAAAATTAGCACACTTTCAGTCCAGTTTTAGCAACAGATCTTCAACACACTTTATGACTCCTCATCAGGATGGTGAGACTTCCTGTGCTGCTACCGAGAAACAAACATTGACACATCCCAGCTGAAGGCAGAAAAGCAGTGCCCAGTCCCCCAGCATGGAAAGGGGGCTGCTTGCTTACAGAGCATTCTGAATTGGGATGGTTTAACAAGAAAACAACAAAAAAAAGGGAGGTTAAAGCATTAAACAAGTGTTAAACCCCCTTGTTTCTAGAAAGAATGAAAGAAATGGATCACTACAGCACACTGATATAATGCATTCCTTTCTCATTTCCAAATCAATGAGACTTGAAACAGAAGAGATCGCTGAAGAGAAAAACTTAGAGGCACTACAAACATTCCAACATGTACTCAGAAAAAAATCACTAACAAAACGGCCCGGAGTTACTCTAAAGGCTTTGTGCCTGCTTTCCCCAGCAAAGTGACCCAAACCCTCCTGAATGCAATTACGTTTATTGAAAAACGCTGGCATCAGCACTGGCAGATGAACCCCGGGCTGCTAGCCAGGCTCGCTTCAGTGAGAAATGCATTTATTTCAGTACTTTAAGCATTACTTTTAATTCTTTTTACTGCTTCCTCACGTTATCTACAGCGTTTCTGGAGAGCGTTATCAGCTAAGGCTACGGAGTGCGGCAGATGGGTAACGGCAGCTCCCCAGCCCCGGCAAGCAGGCAACAGTAAACCCAAGAGTCACAAGAAAGTTCACCCGACATCCTCGGCAAGAGCGGAATTTACCCGTGACTCCCCCGCCTTCCGACAAATAACACCTGAATCAGCAAAAAGAGCCGCAAGCCCCTACAGAACAAGAGTTACACAACAAAGCAGCAGCTCAGCGCTTCACTCCCCGTGGGGACCAGGGCAGCGCGGCCCCCGCCCGCTGTGCGGTGTCCTCCCCCCCGGGCCCGGCCGGTGCTCCGGGAGGAGCCGGGGCCCTGCGGGCACCTGTGACAGCCGGGACAGTGCGGCCCGCCCGAGCGGTGGGAGGCCGGCGGCCGTTAGCCCTCACCACCACCCAGGGAGCGCCGCCCGCCCCTCGGGGCTCCCCGCGGGGGCCCGGTCCGACCGCGCTAACGCTGAGGGGAGCCGGCGGGAAACTTGGCAACGGCTACGGGGAAGGGGGGAGGAACATGGAAGGGGAAAGCCAGGTGCAGCACCGGCGCAGCGACCCTTACCGCCTCCCGCCGCGACGGCCGGCCGCGCTCTGGCCTCATGCCGGCGTGGGGCAGCGCCGGTTCCGGCAGGGGAGGGGAGCGGGTGCCGCCGCCGCCTGTTGTTACTAGTGACAGGGCGGGGCTTGGCCGCCGGCCCCGCAGTGCGCGTGCGCGGCCCCGCACCGCCTGCGCAGGCGCCATGGCAGTGCGGGTTGGTGTGAGGGGGTTGTTCCGCACATAGACCCTCAGCATGGCAGCGGGATCGGTGGGGTCTGTGTGGCTTCCCTTCACCCACCCGCCCTGAGCACCGCCTTGGTGCTGAGCCCTTTAGTAATCATGGAACCGTTTATGTTGGAGAAGCCCTTTAAGCTCATTCGGTTCAACCACTCCCCAGCCCTGCCAAGGCCACCCCTAACCCATGGCACTGAGGCCTCGTCTCCACGCTGTGTGAACACTTGCAGGGACGGTGCCTGCAGCCCTGCCCTGGGCAGCCTGTTCCAATGCCTGAGCACCCTCTGGGGCAGGAATTGTTCCTCAGCTCCATCTAAACCTGCCCTGGTGCAGCTTGAGGCCGGTTCCTCTTGTCCCATCCCTTGTTCCTTGGGAGCAGAGCCCAGCCCCTCCTGGCTCCATCCTCCTGTCAGGCAGTTGTAGGGAGCAATCAGGTTCCCCTTGCTTTTGGCTAATTGCCCGCAGAGGTGCTGAACCTGTCCCTGGGACTCGGAGGTGAGCAGGATGGGGCACTGGCACCCAAGGCCCACACACAGCCTGTCTCCATCCCCCTTGAGCATCTTTCTGCCTGTCGCCTGTCTCCTGCAGCTGCAGTCACGCAGCCTGGGGTGCTTCACAGTTTGGGGTGTCTGAAAGAGATGCCTTAGACCATGTCTGGCATGGTTTAACCGTGATGTACGGAAAGGAAGAAACACAATTACTGCTTTGTGCTTGCCAGTGTATCACAAACTCTGTTAAAATCAGGATGTGCAAACTAGGGGCTCATGCCCCTGTTCCCTTCAATGACTCTATTAAGGCAATTTATTTACCCAGAACATGTTTTATTACTGACTTACTCCCTCAGAAAATAAATCCTTCTACTGAAATGGAGGATCATTATCCTGTCCTTTTGGTGCAGTTCTGTCTCTAGGAAAGCTGAATTTGTTGTTGCTATTAATAAGCGATTCAGCTACAATTCTTTCTCTACCTGAACCATGTTTCTTTTAGTCAAGAGCAGGCTGTTGTCTGATCTGAAACCAGTCCTTACAAGAAGCTATTTAATGTGTTCAGGATTTGTTTCTCTGAAACTGGTTTCTGCTGTGGCACTTGGCCAGTTGCCTTCATGTAGCTGATGTTAACTAGTTATATCTAGTAACTCTGTAATTAGATTTAGTTATCTGATTGATAGTCCCTGCCATTATGCCTGTAACATCCTTTCCCTGATCTGAAAGCTGAGATATAATCCTACCAACATAGAAGAGCAAGGAATTTACACCCACTCAAATTCTTTGCTCATAACATCTCTCTTTAGAACCTGAGAAATGTTTTACTTCTCACTGGCTGCCACTATTCTACTGAACCAAATGGCCATATAACCAGAAAAGCTTTATTTGGACTTCTAAAGGTACTCAGTGTTTATTGATAGAGTGAAAGTCCATAATTTAACATCTAAATCAGTCATGGTATGTGTCTTGCTTGCTTTCTACAGAAACAATAATCTTAACAAGATAGACACAGAAGAGGAAAGGGATATGTTTGTATTTTTTTCTTTTTAATAGTGTTTATATTCCTCTTACCTCTTCTTTATGGCAGCTCCAGCAGTGTGTCGTTAGAAGGAATATAAATGAATAAACGGGTGGGTGAAATGTTTTAAGGAAAGCCCTGAAGCATGCTGAAGGCTGAAGGCTGTGTCCCGGAGGACACAGGCTGAAAGTGCAAACCATAGAATCATAGAATACTTAGGGTTTGAAAGGACCTTAAGATCATCCAGTTCCAACCCCCTGCCATGGGCAGGGACACCTCACACTAAACCATCTCACCCGAGGCTCTGTCCAACCTGGCCTTGAATACTGCCAGGGATGGAGCATTCACAACCTCCCTGGGCAACCCATTCCAGTGCCTCACCACCCTCACAGTAAAGAACTTCTTCCTTATATCCAATCTAAACTTCCCCTGTTTCAGCTTGAACCCATCACCCCTTGTCCTATCACTACAGTCCCTAATGAAGAGTCCCTCCCCAGCATCCCTATAGGCCCCCTTCAGATACTGGAAGGCTGCTATGAGGTCTCCACGCAGCTTCTCTTCTCCAGGCTGAACAGCCCCAACTTTCTCAGCCTGTCTTCATACTCTCCAAACATTACGAAGGGAAGGGAAGCTGAGCTTTAGGAAGGTTATGCAAGGTTGCTCATTCCCCACTATCTGAGCACTTTTCCTGGATTGCATTCCTTCACGTTATGAACTTTGGTTACACAACTCAAAGCCCCGTCATCTATCTTCTTTCAGGCAATATTGCCATGGAAATTAATGAGAAGTATTGGTAGTAAGTCCTTTATTATTTATAATAACTAACTTAAAGCGCAGTTGCCTGAGGGCTGATGTATACAAGCAGAGATTGAAAATGCCTCACGGCCTTGCTGTAATTGACTGCAAGCCCCTGGAATTTCAGCAGGCAGGGACTTGCTCTGGTTTCATTTGCTTGCATCCCAGAGAGTGAATAACATGCTGTGGTCCTGGCTTCTTACTGTCCTGCAGGTCTGATCTTCGCAGCTTTTGCCCTAGAGGAGATTGTTAGGAGTTCTCAACAAGAGGGAGCATGCATTCATTCAAGGTCTTGCTGCCAAGCTGTAGGTTTATTAAAAGTATGTGAAAGAGGGATGAGATTCTGAGTCCAGACGTACTGATGTTCTTCAAGAGCTGTTCCCTAATAAATCAGTGCCATCCGAGTCGCTGGAATTTTTTATGCACCACTGGCTACACTGGAATAACTGCCCTCTTCCTAAATCTTTAAAATCATGAAAAAGGACCCAAATGATAACATTTCCAGCTAAAATAAGCATGATGACTGACAAACAGCTAATGGGATGGAGATACGCCCTGGGGACATGCAATTCCCCAGTGTTCCTATTAAACGCATTGCAGATGCGTAACTAGGTGTCACAATTGTTTCATTCCCTTGTCAGTCTGGAGAGCATCTGGTGGTGCTGGAATGTGGGGTGGTGTGAATTCCTTCACCCCTTTACTCTTAAAACTACAGTAACTGTAACACCCAAGCTCAGGCCTCCAGATGCACAATGAATGTGCTCATCTGGAACAGCTGTATGTATTTTTGTAAGCGCTACATAGCCCATACTGGGGAAATGGTACAGAGGAGGAGAAGTTTCTCCAGGTATCTCTGGAGATCATGAAGCCCTTTGGCAGGGAAGATACTAATAATCCCAATATGTAGATATAAATATTAAGGCTCACAAAATACTTTAGGAAAAGTCAGTAAGAGGAAGCAGACCAGAGCACTTTCTGAGTGATCGCTATCTGCAACACTGCTGCCTTTTAGCTTTATGGTAGTTTTCCACCATTGAGAAGATTGGGAACAAGGTAAAATATGTCCAGACCAGCCTGTGTTCAGAGAGGTGATGTTAAAGTGTAAAAGCTAGAAGGCATTAAACTCTTGTGCTGAGAGCTTTATTCAGGATTAAACTGGCCTTAGTTCACTTTAGCTTAATGCAGTACAAGTGAAGGTGTATTAACTTCATACCACTGTTTGATTTATCTGAACTTTCCCTTGTGCCACGGTGTAGAAAAGGCTTAAATGACCTTGTAGACTGAAGCCCTTCATGTTTTGATGCCATACACAGTCAGAAACCTGCTTTTTTCCCCTTTTTCCTAAGTGACTGATAGGAAAATAGAGTTGCAGGCTGGGAGCCAGCCAGAGACACCAGCTGCCAGTGCTTGGACTCCAGCAGCTTACATCAGAGCACAGGCATCACTGACATAGTAAAGGATACATAAATGAACATTAGCAAATAGGACTAAGTCCTGATTCATAAAATAACGTGAATTGGGATGAGCACGCGGAAAGCATCCCAGCCCTTATTCACATCCTCTCCTTGTACAGCCCGCACCCGTATGCGGCTTCCTACATGGAATTCAGTGTCGCTGCTCAGAAGCAGTGACAGTGCTAAAGCAAAAGTGAGCAGGTGGTGCAGGGGGACTGCTGGGACAGAAAGAATTCATGCCTGAGGAGCTAGTGGAGTGCATAGTCTGGATGGAGCACCAAATCCAGCACTCATTCCTGTGCTGGATATCTGTAACACCCAAATGGTTGATAGCACAGTCTTCTTGGAGAGCATGAAGAGGGGGAGATCCCCTTTGGGGCTGCCACGGGATTGGGGTAGTTTTATACCTTAGACATCAGGAGGTGGCATGGAAGAGGAGGGGGAGGAAGGAAGGAATGATGAAGGGAACTCACCCCCACAACCCTTTTTCCATTATAAAGGGAAAAAAGCTTTGATGATATCTTACTTGCTGGGGTCTGTTTCTGGTGTCATGAAGGTGTCATGCTCATAATACAGGGAGCTGGAGTTGCAAGCAAGCAAGGGTTTACTGGGCAGTTGGGAATGCCCAACTTCTCTAATTGCCTTTGGTGACTGCGTGGATCTGCCTGGTACCTGCCTCACTGTGAGCAGCCTGTTACCGATCATCTCTGGGTGATCTGAAGGACTGCCTGGATCTGATCAGTTCATTAATAACACTTTTCAGTCCTTAGAGAAAGAGCCATTTCAGCCACGAGGCACAGCAAATGCAACATGGAGTTAAGTTTCCTATAAAAATAAAAACAAAGCCTGTTTATTATCCCTCTTTTTAATAAGTCTGACAGTACAAATACTCTCATCTACTTCAGCAAGTGTTGAATCAAAGTTGGGTCACTCACCATGTGTAGACTTTGTCCTATTTGCCTGTAAAATGAAGATACTAGGTTTTTTTTTTATACCAGAGGAGTAATAAGAAACAATTACTTATTATTAAAAGTATTCCATAAATCCAGCTCCTTTTAAAGAACACGCTGACTCCACCAGAACTGGGTCTGCACCCTGTGGGCAAACACTGCACCCTTTCACTGGAGCTCCATCAGGACAAGCATCCTTTGTGGCTGCTGCTTCTCTCCCAGCATAACAGTGGGTCTATCTG